CTGTGGGGCACCCTTTGGTGGAAGATTTAGTTTGGGTATTCAGAACCATATAAATGTGAGCTCTACTGAGGCAATTTTGAGGCAGAAGACCATAGAAGCTTAGAAGAGCATAGACATTTTGAGAAGGTTAAAGTTTAAGTGGCAGATGAAAGCAAATGTCCGTAGAAGGAAAATGAGAAAACTAGAAGATGAATAATGTGAGCTTGAAGGATGTCAGATAGCAAAAGCCCAGGAATGAGTTTCAAGAGTGAGGGATTTATCTCCAGTGTTGGACACTGTAGAGGTTGAAGATGGAGCAGAGGCTATTGGCTTTGGCAATTAGGATACCTCTGGTAACCTCTGAGAGAACAGTGTTAATTGAATTATAAGGGTGGAAGTCAGACAGCAGTAACTTGAAGACTTGGGGAACAGAGTCAATGTCGAGAAGCATCAAGGAGAGAATAAGAAAAGTAGCTTGAGAGAGAAGCTGGTTGCAAGGGAGATGTTTTTTAGATGAGGAGGTTTGAGATTGCTTATAGGCTGAGAGAAAGGATTCAATAGAGAGGAAGAAATGGAGATTTTTCAGAAATTAATTAAAAGTTTTCAAAGCTGTTTTATTACTTTATCCTCAGACAAACCATGAAAGGTAGTATAGCTATTATTATCACCATGTTACAGATGAGAAAAGCTGAGACATTTCCCACGGTCGCAAAGTAAGTAGTTTCCTTGTGACTCCTTCCAGATCTGTAGAGAAAGGAGAAATAATTCATGGAGTAGAAGCTGGGAAGGGATGATATGGCAAGGAATAGGGTAAAGACATAACTTTTGGTAGAATATTGTTTTCACTGAAAAAGGGGGAAAGGTGGAGGTAAGGAATACCGAGAACTGGGAGGTGCATTAGAATGACTAAGCAGTAGATGACTAAAGCCCAGGATTGTGGTTTAGAGTGAAGAGGATAAAGAAAACTTTATCTTTCCTGATAGTTAGTTCCTAGTCTCTGATAATAAGAGATTTAGAAAGCTGGAAGAGTTTCTCAGTTTATATCCAGTCTATCAAACCTTTGGGCTCTGAGCATAGCTTTTAGAACTTGAGCTTTTAAGGCAGCTAAAAAGTTTTAGATACCTGGCTATCTATGTGTGCCTCTTTTACAGGGATTTTAATGTTTTGATTTTTAAGGGAAAAATGTTAGCTGCCAGCCTCATTGTTGGCATCATCTTTTCTGCAGGGCATTTTAGATTATCTGGATAACATATCTCCTCAGCAAATACGAAAACTCTTCAATGCTCTCAGCACACTGGCATTTAGCAAACAGAATGAAGCCAGCAGCCACATCCAGGTAAGAGGCAATATGTTGGGGAAGATTTGTTTTTGGTTTTTGTTTTTTTTTTTTGGGAATCTCCCTCTGTCGCCCAGGCTAGAGTGCAGTGCATGATCTTGGCTCACTGCAACCTCCATCTCCCGGGTTGACACGATTGTCCTGCCTCAGCCTCCCGAGTAGCTGGGACTACAGGCATGCACCACCATGCCCAGCTAATTTTTTTGTATTTTTAGTAGAGAAGGGGTTTCACCATGTTAGCCAGGATGGTCTCGATCTCCTGACCTCATGATCCGCCTGCCTCGGCCTCCCAA